TTCGACCCACACCGGGCCTCCAGCTCTCACAGATGCTCATCAGGAGTTGCCCTACTTTTAGAGACTTGGGCAAGGCCTCTTTACCCATCAACACACTGGCGGCCGCAAAGGCGTGACCAAGCACGCCAACCTCCATAGTTTTCAGGCTTCGACGACCCAGAGCGAAGATGCTCCCAAGGACCCCAGCAACCTCCTCATCGAGGGTGGGTAGCTTCCCGACGGCCTGCATGGCATAGACCAGGCCGTAGTCAGAGAAGCCCTGTGAGCCACGACCAGCCACACGCCGCAGTAACTTCAACAAGAGTAGCTTCGGAGGTGTCCGACCGCAGTAGGTGAAGCACTTGAGAACAATAGCGGCATCTAAGCTGCTTAGAGTGGTCTCGGCCATGGTAGCAGAGACGCCGTCGGCCAAAGTGAGCCAAAGATCATCAAAGAGGGCCTGACGGTCTGCGCCTGTCACAAGACTATCGTCAGGGGAGGTCTGCTCAACGCAGGCTTTGCATAAGGTCTCCAGCATATCTCCAGCCGGGTCGTTAGCGTATCTTCGGAGGATCTTCTCCACTGGGTCAGTGCCAAGAATGATCCTACTACGCCTGCCTATGAGGACCTGATAGCAATGTATAATCAGTAGGCGACCACAATACATATAATGAACACAGTTAAGGAGAGTATGATAATCTTCGCACTAACATAGTTCAACCCATTTTTTCCAAGTTTCGTTAATGAAATATTATTATAACCGAGTATTCTGTGATAACGAATATAGAACATTAAAAATGGTAAAATATCTACAGCAACTCCGCTACAACAAGGGTCCGACTCGCGATCCGCCCGACAATGAACGTAAGCGTGCCCATCCACTTAGTACTCCTCCTCTGCGAGCTTCCATGGCCGGCACCAGCTCAAAAGGAACCTTATCCAAGGTCTCCACATGTATCTTCTTTTCCTGTCTAGATCTAGGCCTATGAATGGATCCGAAGCCGCCTCTCTTGGCCGCCTCTGCTCGCCTCACGTCCCTCTTTATCGCATCACGAACCCAGTCTCGAGGCATGACAACAAAACTGATACAAAAACTGCAAAATCAGTAGCAGCCCCTCCCCGTAACAAAACACGCCTCAGCTACAATAAGAACATCAGTGGTAGTGAGTCAGTAAAGCATGTATAAATTTCAACAGTTACTACGACACCCAACACACCATCTACCTCCGTGCCTCGGTCCCATGCAGCTTGAGTAAAGCATCTTCCTCCTCGTTGCTCAAGGCGGATCTATAGGGCATGCTGAGCAACGACGGTTGTTCCTCTCGGCGACCAGATACGAGGCTCCCCAACGGCTTGTTGTTGCCCTCTTGCGTTTGTTGAGAGTCTGACCGGGACCCCACGAGCGGTGGCAACGGCTCGTCTTCCACCAGTATAGACTCCTCTGGTAAAGCCGCCTCCTCGAGGCGAGTAATATCAACAGACTCGTCTCTGATCAGCTGCTTCGCTCCGCTCATTATTTCCATCCTTTCATGGTAATGTCGGTAGCCTCGAGCTCCTGAGCTCCCTTCGTCGGCCAAGACCTCAGCCCCTCGATTCTTCCCACGACTTCCCGACAGTGAATCGATCGATCTCCTGGCCCGACTGGGTAGTACCTCCACACTACCACGACCAGCCAGAGAGGCACCTTGTCGAACCATCTCGGAGCCATCATCCCGGAATCGCCCTGATGAGGACATAACCATACTACCAGGCCTCCTCTGCAATACTTCTACGCTCTTCCGGTCACCCAATCCCCCAACTGTAGCTCTTCTCTTGAAGTCGTCCCCAGATGAGAGTGCGCTCATCCTACTGCTCGTCCTGTCCATAACACTACTAGCGTGCCGTTTCAACGGAGGTCTGCC